CTAGTAGGTGCAGCAGAGGAAAGAAAAAGTGATTGAATTCTCCCAAATTAAAAAAAAAAATATTTTAGGTTTAGGCGCTGATGAAGTAACCAATAAACAGATTGCTTATTGAGCATATAAGTTCAATTTTGGCATTAAATTCAGGCCTAGTAAGCAGACATGGTCGTGTGAATCCCACAAAACTAAGACTTAGTACAAGTTCCTAAATAAGAATAAAATCTCCAGTACTAGTTAGTGTAATATATAGAATATATACAACAAATACTAGTTATTGTACAAGAATTTTATTGTGAACTGGTTTATAGCTTTTCTTATCTCTTCCTTTGAAAACTTTTCAAAGTTTTCACTAACATTTTGTCTGAGAAAAATAATCTAACTCACGCTTTAAATGCAATAGCAAAATGTATAAACAAAAGATACCTGGGATCCCAGTATTTTTCACACGCAGTCTTTTTTTACACAGATGAAACAACTGCAGAGATATACCCATTTAACCAAGGAAAGAATTTGAATTACTGGATCCATCCAAACCTCATTTTCATTTTTACTCCAATAATTAACTAAGAATTTAAAGAAAATCTGATATACAGCATATTGTTTAGGCTCATCTTTTATAGCACAATACTATAATCCAACACATTCCCTTTTCCTTCACTTAAAAACAATAATAGTCTACCCTTGACTACAAAAACCCAGATTTTTCATCTCATTAGGACAATCTATGTGAGTCCTCACCTCTAAAAAAAGTGAAAAAATAAGGTAAGAGTCCTAGCAACAGTTAAAATTTAAGTAGTGCTTTCTGCCAAGTCTGAATGCCCTTTACAAAGTCCCATTTGAATTTTTTCGAGCTCAGCTTTATAAATGGGAATAAATATATAAATAGAGAAATAAATTATTTTCCAAAGGTCATGCAGAAAGAAAGAATGGATTAGCTCATGGTTTAAGCACCAAATTAGATCTTAAAACATAGTGGTTCTGCCACTAAGCCTCTTGCGCAACCTCGCACCAATCACTTAATATAATTTTATTTTCTACAGATAGGATAAAAAAAACCCAAAACAATACCAGCATGTAAGATCTGGGAGGAACTGCAACCATATGACAGAAGCAGAAGTGCCAAGAACAAAATTCATGCTTTTGACTCACACCCATCTATTTTATGGGCAAGACTCCCACCTTGGATAAGCATAAGCATGTAGTTCAAAATACAGGATGCCTCCAGAAACACTAGCACGTTGGGATAGCACATTAAGAGAGATGCTTATTAATTAAAACAAGCAACAATTTCTGAAAGAGAAATTCATACAGCTTTGTACTTTTCTAAACAGTTTTCTTACATTCTCATAGTCATTAAAATGTATAAAAATGATTATTTCCAAAACAGCATTACCATGAATTATCACCACCCCTGTTGCCTAGCAACTGGAGTAATTTTTGAATAGTGAGCTATATAAACCAGTATCTGGAGTTTGTGCAAATGGGTAGTCATTTGAGGGTTTAAAACACATTCATCTTGGAAATCAGAGGCAGATAATGCAGCACTAATGTGAAGCTGAAATGATCTTAAAAACTGAAATGGCACTAACAATTACTGCAGCTTAGCAAAACCCTCCTGTAGCAGATCTAAGCCCTGTAAAACTTGGTCAGGGCAGGAGTTTACTCCCTTGCTCTTCCTTGGGCTTGCAAGTGCCCCTTTCCAATTTTTATGAAGATACTTGACATTCCTGTGGAGAAAATAATTCTTGCCCAGTCTTTTGAGGGATCCACTTGTAACTAAAGAGCAAAAGAAACTGGTGACATTAAATGACAATGTAGTTAAGTCAAATTAAAAATTCTCTTTTTGTATAACTTACTGAACTGGAAGAACTCACTGGTTCATATCATGACAGAATGACATGCTTAGTAAGGTTCAAAATAGGTCTGGACATTAATAGTGGCAAAGAGATAACCCACTGAGCTATTAAAGAGAGATTATAAATACAAGTATGAAAGACACACACCCCCAGAAATCATGGCCTGGTCACACATCAGCTGCATGTGTTGCCTATTGTAGGGATTCTTGTCAATTCTTTAGTCCCATGTGGAACTTAACCTGAATGCAGCACAAGATCCCAGTCCATACCAACATGTACTGTTTGACATCTAAGAATTTCTACACTACTTTCTTACAACTTTAGTGGACAAGTTCCTGCTAAAGCTAGTGTCAATCTGTGTTACTATTCCCAAAATTGGGGGGAGTGAGTGGGTGGTGTTCCCAAGGGAGAAAGATTCCAACTTAATGACTTCCAAGGCTTAGCCTTATGGGTGAGAAAAAAAAAAAGTGAAATGTACTGAAAATCAGCGTGTGTTTTTCATAGACACTGCAGGCAGAGGCAAATTCATCCCTGCCATAAACACACAGCCCGCTGAAGGCAATGCTGCAGCATCTGCTTATACCAGCTATGAATCTGAACAAAATTTTCCCTA